TGTGTGTGTGTGTGTGTGTGTGTGTGTGTGTGTGTGTGTGTGTGTGTATGTATTCTGCACACTAAAGGCCGGAGGCGGGGGCTCGAGGGGAGGGGCTGACTGATAGCGGTGCATAATGAGCATCGTGTCTCTTCAAGCAATGTAATAAGCTGCTAATAAGCATCTTTACCAGCGCACATGAGCCCTCAACCACTTGAATATTACATTTGACTGCTGTGGAAATTGTGTAATACAGAAATGAAACCCCGCTGATCCGTGGGATGCATCGAGCTTCTATCGGTCGGAGACGATGCATCTAAATCAGTTAGAGATCTTTTTTTTTTTTTTGTTATAATAACTGGTTTATTTCTTCTGACAATGTTCCCGGCAGAAGCTCGATAATTAACTTATGAAGTGTTGCAGGCCGGCTTCCCTCTCCCCTCCCGCCACCTTCTTAGATTGTCTAGATCTCTGTCACACACACGCCCATCCCCCCCCCCCCGTGTAATTTTATTTGAGTGGCTTTGTCCTTTTTAATGACCGTCATAAATGTAGCTTTAAAAGTGAAATCCTAACCGCAGGAGAAGCAAAGAATCACAGCTCAGGGTTGCATGAGACTGTGAGAGTAGCCTGAATCCCTCTCACAGTTATTCCCCCCACAGAGACTCAACCAGGTCTACCGCTGTAATCCCAGCACTTCTAGCCATGTAGCCTTACAGCGAGCCCCCGATAACGGGGACGTTGTATTCCGTAACTAGAGCGCTATGCACAGAAGCCCGGCAGAGGGAGAGGGACCGGGACCGGCTGAAGGCTTGTCTGCACTTTGTGAGATGCTGTCTCTCCAGTAATTCAGAGTTTTCAAAGCCTTGAATTATAATCCCCGTAGTGTCCGTTGAACCCCATTGAGAGACCTTCAGCCTTCGGGTAGACTTTGTTCATTCCTGGATTAACTGATTCTGATAGGGCGGCGCGCACGGTGCAGTTTCTTCTCAGAGAGGATAAAACTGGGTGTGGCGGCGGGACGAGGGCGTGATTTAGAGTATAAAGATGGTATTAAGCGTTGAGGAGTTGGCTCATCTCTTTCGGGGTTTAGCTGTCAAGGACATTTATTATTGCTATGAGTTCTGCTTCCATGCATCAAACATTGTATATAGCTGGCCTATACCGGGGAGTTAGCACTTGTATCTCATTTAATCGCAGGGTTGCTATTGATGCTATTGATTCTAATCAAAGGCCCGACGTGTTAAAAAGCAACTGTAGTCGTCGTATTAAAGGAAGCACTAACTGCCGCTGCGTAGATTAGCCTTGGATGTCGGGGGGGAAAAAGAGATCGGTCATCTTCTGATGCATTATTTATAATCGGGGCATTTGTCATTTCTTTTGATGTTTTTGGTTGCTAATGTATCAGCTTTGTACAACTCAGCTCCCCAGCTCCTCCTGGACTTTTATTTTGGGGTTCTGCTGCAGGGATTAGCTGTCTAAATGTGTTGTATGTTGGGGGAGGGGGGGAACCTGGGGTCTAAACATCATCTACACAGCTGTGATTATTTGATAATGAGTATCTTTTGATTGCTCTTTGAGGGTATTTTATTTGAAACCAACTGAGGGGGGGGGGCTGGTCATGTGGGGAGTGCTGCTGGGATGTTTTCTCTTTTAGGTTTGATCGGTAGTGGTTGTGAGCAGCAGGTGGTGGGAGTCGTGGTGTATACGAAGGCACACTCTGTCTCCAGAAGCTGTCTAGACTTTGTCTATGTTCTCACCACAGAGGAGAGAAATGTAATTAGACAAACTGACAAGACAAAGAAACCAAAAGTGTCCCAAATGACAGACTCTGGAGACAGACGGTGCTTTTTCTTCCCCCTGTACTTCTCTACAGGTCTGGCTTTCAGTGACAGAGACACAAGCATTACAATGAGTTTATAAAACAGCCCAGAGTCTTTAGATTGAAGACACTTCACATGAAGTCTTCCACAAATCCCTCAAAAGTGAGTTCATGTGATACATTTCTTATTGGCCAAAGTTTGCTGAGTTCCCCTTGTGCCTGTCACTTCAGCCCCTGAGAAGCCCAGACTGTGATGCCCTGTAGAACATTAGGTCTTTCCTCCTAATGGATGTGTCCTTGCCTCCTTTCCTCTTTCCCTCCCCTTCCCTGTCTGGATCTGGTGGAAGGGGTTGGAAACCAACCTGTAAAAAAAAAAAAAAAAAAAAACTCTTTTCATTTTGTTTTGCAAAACCTTGTCAAGTGCCTCTGTAGCAATTAAATGATTTGAATAAACAACATGAACTGATTTAGGATGGAGAGTAAATAAAGAGGTGTGTACAATAAAGGGACTGGCTCTGGTGGTTGGTGTCTCCTTTTGTCCTGTGTGATCCACTTGCTCTTCTCTCTCTTGCTGATAAAGTAGCATTTTTCCTCTCTTCCCTTGCCTCCCTCTCTACATCTAAACCAGTATAGACCCTTGACTGGCGTAGAGAGGCTCAAACAATGGTCCCTGTTCTTTACACAAAATGAACCAAAAAAAAATCACAGTAACAGCCTTTTGTTGCTCTTGTGTATTAATCAACATTTACACTTTAAATCTTTCATCTCACAGCGTTGAGTCAAAGTAGATTTAATGTCGCAGTGAGAGTAGATCTACTTCAATTCACTGTTGTAAGACACAGAAACATTCAAACTTCCAGGGGGATGGGGATGATTTTACAGGCACAGTCTATCTAGTTTACCCCAAATGCAGACAGAGTCTCTGTTAAGATGTTCACACTGTTTCAGAACAGTTCTGTGATCAATATGCGCAAAAATTCCAGTAGAAGATGTCAGTTGTCTTTTTTTGGGTACAGCATTCATTAATAAGTCCAGGTTTGTGTGTCTAGTCATGTTCTCCCGTCAGAGCGGCGGATGACCTCTGAGCCCTCTCGCTAACAGATTGCCTCATTTACAATCTCCTGAGCTGTTCCAGGGACGGGATCCTGCAGTGTTCATGTCACACGGGTTGAGAGATTAATGTTGGTTGATTGTTCCTGAACAGGCGCCCGGCTCCCCGTCGAAACCAGTGGTGACCTTGATCAGCCCGAGGTGGATGTGAAATGACTTCAATCCACGACAGCAGCAGGACCACAGAAGGACTATACGTCTTGTTTTCATTTCACTCACAACCAAAAGCTCCAACAATGCTGTTGCAGAGCTACAGTAATCTGTGCTGTCAGCATAACATGCAAACTTTAGTTATTGAGGCATCAAACTGACGTTATTTTGTCGACAGTGAATGTTTCAAACGGTTCTAAGCACTAAAATGTTTTGAGTATTTCCACAGATGGTCAGAACTAAGTTTGTATAGCGTGAAATGTAGTTTAACATGTAAATCTAATGCAGATATTTTTCAGTTTCCTACTTCATACCACACAATCTCTCACTCAATTATTTCTTTGAACAAAAACTAATTAGAGATAAAGTATAAGCGCACTTCTAACCAGATACGGTACAGTGCCTATAGTCATAAAGACGGTCTAAGATTAGATTTTTATTATTGTTGTAGCATGTGTTCAGAAAAATGCGTTCCTCGTGGTGGAGCGTGACCATTAAATGTGCTTTATGACAGAAAATGTTAATGATGAAGCTAAACAGTCCCTGGAGGTTTCAACACAGACGACAATAGTAGTGATTGAAATGCACAATACATATGTATGATTTTACCACTGTAACCAAATGACTGCAATGCATCCAAATAATGGCAAAGAAATGAATGTTTAAGCCAAAACTAGCTTTGCCATCTGCATGACTTTAATGACTTCTGCATATTTAATCTCCAGATGAATGAACTGATCAGGGAGATTGTCTGTTTTTTATGATGTTTTTGTTTTTTATCACAGTAAAGATATAGGTGTGATCTCTTTTTTTAAACAGCCTGGGGCTTAGTAATAAAACATTGTGCTGAGTTTCTGATATTCCTTTCTTGATATAGTTTGTTTTGATTATTAGCCTAAAATAATTAAATGTTCATTTTGAAGTGTAGTCTGAAATTGAATAAAACATTCCAGCTGTGGTTTTCTAGTTTAGCGAATGACTAACAAATAAAAGTGCTGCAAGTGTTTAAGTGTGTGTGTATTGACTGCTGCAGTAATAAGTCTTAAATCCACGGAACCCGGAAATGAGTTAGCGTTCTCTTCCACAGTTTATTTTCTGCAATAATCCAAAATCCAATGATCATCTTTTAGTGGAGGGAACCAGTGCGATGCTAACTTCCGGGATCTACAAAAATAGGTCATCCCTGCTGCACTCTATTCATGAGTAGTATGTGTGTGCACATCATGTGTTTCGGTGTGTGCATATTACAGTAAACTGTGAATGTGATGTCCACCCGCGTGACTAACTCAAAAATATCACAAAACAATTATAAATCTATTTTCCAAAAGTGTGAACCGTCCCTTCAAATCCAGCTCACGAGGCTTGAAGTCACGTAAGGGTTACGGGTCCAACTTTCAAGTGTGAGCACGTGCAGGTTTCTCTCCGCGGGAGGTGAAGTTGCGTTGAGACTGTGTGCGCACCCGCGTGGTGACGTCGAAGAGGCGGCGCAAGGTGTAGATTTGAGTGACGGCGACGGTGAGCATGACGCACACGTTGAGGCAGGACCAGAAGGACACGCGCCACAGGTTGTTCTCCAGCAGGTAGCGGTCCCGCGCCTCTAGGGTCCGCAGCACGGTCAGGACCTGACGGCTCTTCTCCAGGTGCTGGTGCACAGAGTCCAACCTCACCTGGAAGACGAAGAACAGCAGAAAGGAGGAGATGAGAGTCAAAAAAAAAAAGACATCAGATAAGTCAAGTGTTGTCTGAAGGGTCATCATAGCTGTTGCAGATGCAATAACTCTTTGTTTCCCCTCCTCACCCTGATGTCCTCCAGTTTGTACTCCACCATGCTTTCCTGCATGGCCACTTCCACCCACTCATTTTGGCCTCCATGTGCACTGCTGCTCTGTCTGTTCATGATCACCTCAAAGAACACCAGCTTCTCCGACAGTTTACTGAAGCTGTTGTCGAAACACAGCCGGTAGTCTCCATCCTCTGTGGGATCCACCCTGCAGGGAAGAAATAAAGTGTACAATTAAAAAAAAAAAAACAGCATGGTCGAAACTATTCACTTTGATAGCAAACATGTATTTAAAAAAATACTTGGCTAAAAATTGTTTTTTAATATGAAATCAAGCAGGATGGTTGTTGGAGAGCCTCTGAGTGACCCACATGTGAACGGCATCAGATCTCCTGAAGTCAGAGGCCAGCCGGTATCCGCTGGGTGAGACGAGGGCGAAGCCAACGTCCAGACCCGACCCAGCTATCACCTGTGAAAGACACAGAGGGGTTGAGGGTCAGTCAAAGCCCACTGAGCAGCAACATGGCTCACAAAAGTGATGATAAATGGACAGTTAAGCTATTTGTGTAGGGAAATTCTCCCTTGCGCTCCTCATTGCAGCCTCTCTTTGCCCTCTATAGTAAAAGAAGAGCTCAGTGCCTGACACACTTCAACGGTCCTGGAGTCATTGACCTTCTCAAGGTTTTGGTTTGGGATACAGTTCCACATTATGAAGCAGCCTTTGACATTAGTTGTGATGGGCGATCAAGACCTCCACATCTGTGCTGCAGCCCTATATAGGAGCACCTGTTCCAGTGAAGGTGCTCCAGTCATCCTGCCAGGCTCTTCCCTGTATGTCTTGGCCTCTGTGTACGGTCTATGGGTGTGAAGCAATGCAGCGGTCACGGCCATAAAATGACTAAACACAATATGAGAGACTTGAGGACAGATGTGCTTTAAATATATGTATTTGTGCTTTTCATTTCATATTAATTACGGCGGCTTTATATTTTGGATGCATTTCAGATGTCATCGTCATGTTAAGTCATCTTTGTGCTTGTGCAGGATGCATGTTAAGTACTTTTAAAATGTGTTTTTCTTTTCTCCATCTCAGGAGAAGTGTCTTCAACGACAGCAGTAGTGGCTTTCTTATCTCATGCAAGACCGAAGTCCAAGGCTTGTTAACTTGTTTTTCAGTTAGACATTATTCACAATCTTCAAGAAAGCTATATTCAAAACTTTAAACACACACACACACACACACACACAGACAGACAGACAGAAAGAAAACAATATTTACCTGGTATTCAACTTCTATGCTGTCGTTGCTCGCTGTAGTTTGGTAGAAACACTCTGTGCTGCCAGCAGATAATAGAAATGTAAACTCCATGTCTTTGTATGGCCCCAAACCCAAAGTCAAGTCTACGGTCAGGATTAAACAAGCCAGCCAACAGAGCTCTCCAGACACATTCATCATGCTCAGCGTGCGGTGCACAGTCCATGTAATCCACTTTCACCGAATTTGAGCGACTCTGTTCTATGTCACACGTGCACAATGAAGCAAGTTTACTGTGTATCTGTCATTGCTGACTGTCATACTCCCGACGGTTGGAAACACAAAGCCTCACAGTAAAGTTCCTTGATCTGAGCCACTATCTGCCTCGACCAACAGCGCTCACATGCAAAACTGAGGCGGAGCGACAAAGTGCAGCAATACACATTACATGATGAGCCTGGTGGTGCATGACGAGGCCTGGGGCGTGAAGGCTTGTTAGTTAAGGTACATTTTGATTTACTTTTTTTTTTTTTAAATCACTTCTCATACATTTTGTACTGTTTATTTATACATTATTAATTCATTTTAACAAATGTTGTGCTTGCCGTGTCCTCTTCTATCCTGTAGGGGGAGCTAAGAGGGAAAAGCAGACCGTGCAGCCTTGACATCATGGATGTATTCAGAAGAAGTAGAAATGGGTAAGTGAAGAACTTTTGCAGACAACTCACTCAGTAGGGTTGAATATAAATGCTGAACTGACACATTCACAGTGACTTGGTCATTTGTTGACAGTGCGTTACAGGAATTCGTGAAGCGTCCCGCATTATTTAATGCATTGGCATCATGAATCATGCAGTAGTTTCGAGGGTGTTATGCTTCAGGATGTGGTTTCCTTGTGACGGCCAAAATGCCGAACTTGAGGCTTCAAAACGATGGTCCACCAACCAATGGGTGACGTCACCTTTTATAGTTAGTTTCTCCTGATGTGTCACGTCTTTCTTCATGTCTTTGTGGTTTCATGCCTTTGTGATCGAGACCTGTGGCTAATCACCCTGTTCTCTTTGCGTATTTAATGTATTTTGACGTTTTAAATCACCAATCTCATTATTACTGGATCAGATTGTGACCTATGTCTTTCATCTAAATTATATATTTTTAAATCTTCAGTTGGACCCATTATTTTTGATTTATTCACTCTGCTCCCTCAGCTTTGTTACATTAAAGCTCTCCTTTTGTTCAACCCTCCCTGCCACCGTAACAGAATCTTATTTTTATTAATCTAGTTTTGGCATTTGAAAATAATAAAATATAGTAATAATAATAAAGTAATGGATTAGATTATTGTATAGTAGCCTTGCGGTTCTTACTAATTATATACTTTCATATTTACCTTTGTGATAGAGCGTCTGGCAATATATACATTTAATATTAGACATTTAACTGAACAGATGTGCTTGGAAAAAAAATCTTGATATGAAAATCAATGCCTCAAAATGATAAACTATGTTAATAAATGGAAAAATCCCAACCATCAGCTCAACGTTACTGAATCAGTGCTACCATCTATAGAAAGATGGAGTCATTCATAAATCTCTTTAATTGGCAAGTTCAATGTCTTGAAAATTGATATTCTGCATTCATTTGTTGATTTCGGGTAATTCCATTAGCACCACCACAAGACCTGTGTTAAGGGAATAAGAAAACTACTTAACTCATTTGTATGGAATAGCGTGCCATCCCAGACTTTGTCTCTAACTGTTATAACTTCTATTTGACAGATGTCGACACCTGAACTCTCAGATTCTCTGTAGGAGGAAAAGGGATTTTTGTTTTGTTCATTTTTTTGGCCACATTCTGCTTACATACTTCTTGGGGAAAAGAATAAGTGATTATATTTGTGGGATGTGTTTGAGTGGTATCAGTGACAGCAATAATGTGAGTTTATTTTTGCAGGGAAAACAAAATCTTCCAGGTCAGAAGTGATGAAAGTGAGCAGTCCTTGTCGGTGCTTGGATGTCTTTCCACATCCTTACATCACATCACCCTCACTGGTCCAGAGGAAACACTGTTAACGAAGGCCGTACATCGCTAAAGTCTGCAGCATTTCAAAGCCTTCACTCCTGCTGAGACAGGAAGCCGTCTCATAGATGTGATCCAGAGGACCATGAATAACATTTAAAATGCCTCTTCAATCAAGTTCATCAAACATTACGTTGTCTAAACATGCCACTTCAGCTCACCCTACATCTGCTGAGTCTGGTGAGCGGCCTCAGTATTTATCTGTTCTCACCTCTGAGACGAAGCACAGAGGTGGTGTAACGTTGTGGATAACGTCGGGATAAGTGGTTGAGATCTGGATGTTAAGCGTTATTCTTGCCAATATCTGGTGTCAGACTAAAAGACAAGCCAGAGAGAGAGAGAGAGAGAGAGAGAGAGAGAGAGGGGAAGTGCGAATGTAGATATTTCAACATTGCTATTACAGTGAAGTGGGAGGGTGTGAAGGGGAGGTTAAATGCACTGTACTCCCACTTAGTGATCGTCGCTTTCTGCCTTGAGGCTTCGTAACTCATCGATTGTCAGGTTTTGCAGCTGCATCGAAAACCAAAAAAAAAAAATTGCACCAAGTACGGTGTCACTGTGATGTCTGCAGTCAGGTGCAGACAGGTGCAGCTCGGCCCCATACGGTGCTTTTGGTGATACATCTCAAGAGTCCTGTGTGCGAGTCTGTTCTTTATCTGACTACTCGTGACAGCTAACTCCACTTGAACCAACCACAAGTGAGCCCACCCTTTTTTTGCTACTTTGTCACCCCTCTCTGTCTCTCAAGTCCTTTTGTCTTCCGCGGCCCCTTTGAAGCAACTTCTCCACACAGATTTGTTTGGTTCAGCTACAGAGAGAGCACTGTCGGTATGTCCAAGGGTGGATATCCCTCTGTGTGTGTGGTGGACACTCACACCACCCGGCCTGCAGTGCCACCCAGGCTGAGCCAGGTGAGACGGCGTGCCGGGGCGGCGCAGACCCTGCTGTTCCTGCTGGTGAGCGTGGCGTTGTGCGGCATGGCCATAGAAGCCTGCTTCATCTACCGTCTCTACCGACCGGGGTCTGTGAGTATCAACCCGATTTCTCTGAGTCTCCTGTGATTTCTTATCAACGGAGTTTCACTTTGATTCATTTACTTTTTAATCTCACTTTCCTCATAATATCTCATTCAGCTGGAACACTTTTTTTTTCTCACTTTCACTTTTCTTTTACTGTTTTCTAACAGTTTTCTCTTATTTTTCTGTCTCCGTCAACGCAAAACTCTTTCTGTTTTGTTTTCGTGTCGATAACACCTTTTTATTTCCACCAATTGGAAGTATTTATAGTGTGAATTATTCATCTTTTCTCAGCAACATGTTTTCTGTAAACACTTCAGTCCCATGTATTTATATTGTAAATATTTATTTTTTTTTTTTTTATCACAAATGGAATTACTTGAAATTAATGTCAACATTGTGAGTTTTATTTAATAAATATACAATACAAAGTAGAGACGTGAGAACAGTTGTACGCTATGTGTCGGAAACTGTCTGCTGTGCTGTCAAATGTACCATAACCAACGTGGAAACTTCCGCTCTCCAAGAGTCAGATCTGTGGTTCCAGATATTCCCATAGTGTCTTCATGGAGTTAATGTGTGGTTTTAACAAAAACAATGTCATTAAAGTTCTGGCTCCACTTTATACAACGCTTCTCTTTAGTCAACATGTATGTGAAGGATTGTGTTCCTGTTTAGTGAAGCGAAGGACTCTCGTGATAGAAACGGAACTGAATCATTTGAATGGTTGTTTTTTTTTTCCAAAAAACTGCTGACGGAGAAATAATTTCACTGTTATTGGGAAGAGAGTAGAGATGGAGAAGTGCGGCCCATTTATTGAGAAGGCCACAGAACCCGAGTGTCAGCGGCGTGCGGGCGTGATGTCTGGTAATATTGGATGGTCAGTGGTTTCACTGAATCGCTGTGACTCCGTTCCCTGTCGTCCTCCGATGCTCTGTGTGATGGCAGCAGTCCCGGTGGGACGGTGGGGAATAGGGAATGGTCTATTTCCTGTAGCATGATTGTGATCTTTCTTCAGCTCGTTACCGGAGAGACGGACCTGTCCTGCTTTGTTCTGCAGAAAGAAAACATCGTAGCAAGACAGAAAACAAATTTCAGATTTTACGATTGAATGTGCTCGTAGTTTTTTTTTTTACATCTTATACTTCCAACTTGGTCACGTATCGGCCACTACAGCGATGGCGTGTGAATGCTCACAAACAAACATGCAACCGAGAGGTCAACCATTTTTCCTTCCATTGCAGGCCGCCTCAGCATCGTCCTCTAAGCTCATCGCAGGTATGTCTCAGCACTTGTTACTCAACCGATGAATATCCCTTCACTTACTTAAGCCACATCAGTGACACTTTGTCTGCTCCTCACACAGGTCCAGTCGTTACTTCTCCCCCTGAAACTCTTGTTATTCCTCCTTCCAAACCGGTTGCACATCTGACAGGTGAGACCAGTGTTCATATTCCTTATACTAACACAGCATCCAAACTTACTGCAAATGCAGAAACTCCATGACATATATGGTTGTGGCTGTTGCCCTTTATAATTAAATTCTCCATTTAAAATGATGAATACGTTATATGAATAATCAGACTTCACATTGTTGCTGTTTTTTTCTCCCAGATGGACAAGATGTAGTTCACGGTGCAAAAATCATGGCGTGGAGCATGGATGCCGACCCTCTCCTCTATGAAATTAACTACAAAGACAAAAGCCTCGTTATTCAGAAGGAGGGTTATTACTCTGTCTATTCCAAGGTTTCCTTCTTAGACATTGATGTATTTCGCCACTATGTTAATCGGAGAACTGAACGGTACCCAGGCGGAAGTATTCCCCTCCTGATGTCCAGAAGACTCTCAGGAAGGTCCAGCCAAATGCGATCCAACAGTTACCTGGCTGGAGTGTTTCACCTCACAAAAGGCGATGCCCTGTTCGTGGAAGTGAGCAACACCTCAAACATCGCACGACTCAAATCTTATGAGAACGTCTTCGGTGCATATATGATATAAATATCACATTGATATTTCACTATGAGTCCCAAAGTTTGGAATAACAGTAAATAGAAGTGGACAATAGATGTTATGAGGCTTAATGATTCTCTCTATAAAGAAAGAGTATAGGTCCACAACCGGAAGCATAGGCAGGTGTGAAAACCTCATCGAGTGTTATGAAGGTCAGGACATTGCGGGGGGCTTTCCTGTTGGGGGGGGGGGGGGGGGGACTTTTTAAAAGTGTTACAGTGTAAATAAACTTTTTCTTATCAGGGATTTTTTTATATACTTTAATCGTAATTGTCTGAATGTTGAAAAAAACAAACTGTTACTGAGTACAAACGTATGTTTCATGTTCATGCTAAAATTAAAAACATACAAACTGTCTACATTTCTTTGCATCCTTGCTGTGACACGTTTTGCACTCTATTTATTAATTCCTTCAGTGGTAGAATTAAATGTATAATTGCTTTATTTCTGCTGTATTTATACACAATAATGTTTTACAAAATACTGAAATAAACAGATAATGATTTGAAGTCGTGTTTGTTGGTTTATTTTTAAAAGCCTTCTGTGAGGACATCATGTAGCTGAAGTGGAACTCGTTTCCTGCTGCGTCAGATGAGCCCCGTGCAGAAGCCTTTGCTCAGTGGTCTCAGAAGCAACAGTTTCACCCACTCGGTCCAACCACACGCCTCACACTGCAGAGAAAGTTTTTTTTAACAGTACAGTGTGATACATAATGTGTGAATGTGTCAACCAGAATGTGATAATGCTATATGACTGCTTTTTCAGTAAAGCAGTATAACTTATATGACAAATGTACTGGAGTTTGAGGGTTTTAGAGGCACCAATATGTGGATTCCACACATTCAGATCAACATACGTATCTACTGTAATGCTAGATGATTGGTTTTAATGCATCACCATGGTGACAAGCATGACGCCTTGTACAAACAAAAGGCCTCATCACCTTTGAAAGTTTTTTCGTTTTTTTTTCTTTTGTATGTCACACAGTTACGCTTTCCCTTCAGCTTAGTCTGTTCGAAGAAGCTGCTCTTGAAAACGCCCACAGAGTTGTATGTTTGTAAACTGAAGAGGAAGTGGTAGTGGGGGGGGGGGGGGGGAGACATCAGTAGCAGATTGCATGACTCACTTTCCAACCCCAGACAGCAGTGGATGGTGTACATTTAGCAGGACTGTGTGTGTGTGTGTGTGTGTGTGTGTGTGTGTGTGTGTGTGTGTACAGGTGGGCGGTTAATTAATTTTCCTTCAGACGTGCACCACGAGTTTTGTTCAAATTGGTAAAACACTCTGAGTTGAGACAAATCACAATTTTGCTTTCGCTACATATAGTCTAAAATTCATAAGTAAACATATTATCTTCATGCGTGGCCTTGGCTCAGAGCTCTTATAGTCTGCTGTCATGAATGCCTCTTGATGCGTGTGTGAGTCACTATCTTCCAGCGCTGGCTGACCTGCGAGGTGTGAGAGACTAGTAGCAAAGGAGGGGGAGCCGTGCCACCTGTGGTTGGGATTCATGCAGTTGCAGTTTCTCTCATGATTCAACTTTAGAGATGACTTTTACAGAGGGTTTGTGGGGGTTGACGGTTCTCTTTATTTGCCTGTGATCTCCAGCTAATTATTTACACTTCCATGTCTGAAACCATCATGTTCCATTGTTAAAGCACGTCTGTGTTGTCACATATCAATCTGTGGAGACACTCAACATTATTTTCAACCACTACCTATTTGTCAGCCTTGACTCTACAATGGACAAGGGCAACACCTTTTTTTTTTCTGCACAGCAAACCTGAAAGGTGGTCCTGCAGCACACAGTCCACAGCTAAATACTGTCCCCTTGTGTTGGTCTCCGGATCACGTAGAGAACAGTGGAGTGCTGATATTTGAATTACATGTCAGCAGTGCATCCACAGGGTCCACTTTGCTGTAGTTGACTGAAAACACCTTTAACAAAATAAATGATCACCTTTTTGGTTACACGTGTTTGGTAATGTTACCCCACGTTGGTTGGTAGTGCTCCCCAGTCCTTCTGGCCTGTGGGTAATAAGCGGGCTACCATTTCTCTTGTGTTAGTCTTCTTTAATCAACACCAACACGAACAAGCAGCTACACTCAACTGTTGCACTTGCGACTCTTCATCCTGTAAGCTGTCCCCTGTAAACAATGCTTGGTTTGAACTATACTCTGAGGCTAAAGGGACAAGAAATAGCAACTTAAATGTTCAAATGTAACGGTTAAGAGTGGTGAGTGAGAAGTCAGCTAGGCAGTCAATGGCAGTATGAAACTGGCAATAAAAGGTGTTTTCAGATAGTGTGAGTCACCGCGACCACGAGAGGTCGTTGAGCATACAGCCACAAGAGGCCACTCAAAATATGATGCAGTTTGCTGCAGCAGAATGCGAGATTAGCCGCGGACAGACACAAGAGTGCACACTCACTCTCTCAAATCACTCACTCAACTCAAATCACTCACTCACTATTTACTCACACACGATCGCATTACTCACACACGATCGCATTATCAACAAGCGGTTCCACAGTGTATTGTAACAACATAAATTAGTATTGTAAATTTAAGTCATCAAAATAACCCTAAAATAAAATGCTTACAGTCGGTTACAACAGTAATGCCATGTTTGATCAAGGGAAAAAGTCCAGCAGCTGGATTTATGATGTTGTTCTCTCCTAAACATCATCTATTAAATTCTGGCATATCTATTATTATAATGTGTGACATGTTTTACTAATAACAACCTTGAAAGAGCATGTTGTTCAAAGATTGCACATTGAAAACGTTTGGGTGGATGATGATGGAAACGAGGGTTTTCACAGAAGCTGCCGCAGGTCTCTATGTACGACTCGACATCGAGGGGTGGAAATCAAAGGTGGGAACAAACCAACCCATGGAGAGGCCTTTAATAAATGAGACAGAGTGGGTGGTAAATGGCTCTGTTATTCGCATTTGAATTCAACTTCTTGGACCTTTCCTACTCAGTAATCGAAAGCTGTGGTGGCAACAGCTAATACAGTTTGAGGTATGGGACTCTGTGGCTGAGGTTTGGAACAGTTTTTAGGTGAAACCTCAGTAACCTGGAAAATATGTGTCTTGCCGGTGATGACTGACATCATGTTCCAGTGAGCTTTTGTGTACTGGGTCTTTATTGATGTGTCAGATAGGATGCTGGGTGTTTGTGTAAGGTGCAGATTTGTATTTATTTGCTTTGTCAGAGTCTGGAGGGAATATTCTTCGACAGCATACGGCTGTTTCTTTCTATTAGTGACTCATTATCTGCGGGGTCCCACTGTTAACTCATGACCTCTCACTTTCACTTTATATCCAGGGTCTCGACAGTGACTCACAGTCAGAAACACTCATTCAACTTATTTCATTCGTTTCGTTGAGCTCCATATGGGGGCTTTCAAACACATCAAATGTAATAAACAGTATGAACATTTTTGTTTTTGTTTTTAATTAGGGAGATGTTTTCATGGCAGGAGTTACAGTATGTTGTTGCGGTCGGACGTAAAGACACAATTGTTTAATTAAATGTTCCCAGAATATACGCAATGCTTTCTTGAATGCATATTCACACTAATCGTCTCGGGTTGCGAGCAGCTACTTGTTGCGTTAAGAATAACTGATAACCATTGACAAAACCAAACATTTCCTTCAACAACATGAAACTTTACGCATAAACCACCACAAGTCGTGATTTCATGTGTCATAACGTGCTATACAGGTAGTGAAGGATATGCGGAGGTTAGTTCTGTCAAGTCTTTTCACTTTCCATTTTAAATAAAAATATGATACAAATGTATGTAACTTATTTTTTACATGATTAACAAACACATTAATTCAGTTTCTTGCATTATTGTGTAAAGACCATAATATCCCGTAACTGTCTAAACAAATAAATCATATTTATATTTTGTCCTTTTTCTTAAATACTTACCAACGGTGTTGTCTAGTTTGTACAATTTTAGCTCGATATAATTACCGTAAATAATTAAGAAAACACTGCACGCTCCAGTGACTCGCTAACAATATATGCATGCCACACAATGACATACATTGTCACACAGTGACATACATTTAATATTGTGTTATTTGCTGACCTTCCCATGGAATTTTGTTAAATACAGCATATATCTGTGTATGGTATATATATTTAGGTCCAAACAATAAATAAATACAACATAAATATAATTCAAACTGTTTAAAACTTATTCAGAAATAAATCAGGAATTAGCAAATAGGAGCTGTGGTGCAAATAACACAGTTCTGCCAGCACTTCAGAATAATACATTCTTGCAGATAAAAACAACACATTTTAAATCTAAGAAACTCCAACGAGGTAAAAAAAAAAACAATCAAGTGGACTGGTTCACTCTACACACCGACTAAAGATGTGCTCCTCGATCACAGCTATTTGAGGAGCAATGAAAACTTTGCTTTTCTAATACGAAAATCCCCCCAAACAGACGGTATACATCATGTTCTTTCTGTCGTACAACACAGCTGAGTTTGATGTGTCGGTTTGAAAAGAAACAGCAGAGAAAGCAGATTTGTAGTGATGACGTCAAACCGTAGACTGATCCTGAAGCTGCTTTACTTTGCTGAAATTATTGGACGTCAAATCGATGTAAATTGTGTTTTCTGGTGGATTTTTTTTTGTAAACCACAATTTAAAGGGGTGAGGATTTTACCCACCCTGTGGCTAAAAGACATTCTTCAGTCACCTCTCGGACTGCAGGAAGAAAGTGATTTGCTGATCTGCTGATCCAAAGGCCAAGACAATAGGTCTTCTGACAGTTGCCCTTGACCATGCTGTTGAGAATAAAGATGTATCAGAGCTTCATCTAAGGCATGTAGATGATGTCCAGGTGGGTAAGAGATTCATTTATGGGTTCGACAGTGGTTGGCAGGTTAACCTCCAGCCTGCTTTCAGCATACAGGACCTCTACCTTGCCGAGGAGGCCTGTGCTGCACGTGCTATTGTTAATCCAACCATGCAGAATGGTTTTGTTGTTCCTCCTCATACTGACTGTGTGCTGCGATTCCCATTTCAGACATGAAGACAGTGTCACCTGAAGATTTAGGAAGAAGTATCCATCCTTCTTTATTTTCAGAACTTTTCCTCCTTCTTCTTCTGAAATCAGGCCTTCCTCTAGATTCTTTGCCGAC